GCCCGCGGCCGGGGCGGTGGGGGGGTTGGGGAACGCCCGCGCCGTCGGGGGGTGGGTTTGGGGCGGGGCATGTTGCGGCCGAGTCCACCGCAGGGTCAGGGCGAGTTCAGAAGGGGACCCAGCGCCTGGGAAAGGGAGAGTCGGGGTGAGCTCAGGTGTCCGGAGCCCCCACGCCGCTCCCGGGATCCGCCGCGCTGCGCCGTTCAAATCTCCCGCCGCGCCGCTCGTGACGTCACTTCCCTCCGCGCGCCAATCGGGGAGCGCGACCGCCCGGGGCCGCGCCGGACTCCGGAACTCGATGGTCCCGCGCCCGCCGAGGGCTCATTAGCATAACTCTGCATGGCCCCACCCCCAGGCATCCCGCGCCTTGGTGCTCCCAGGGTAGTCTCAGTTATCGTCCCCGTGCGGTGCTAGTATGGGCTCTGTAATCGTCCTGGTGTGATCCCAGTCACTCCCATGTGGTTCCCGTTGCTCTCAGTCATCTGCATGGTTCCATTTACTCCCAGAATGATCCCAGTATGATTCCAGTCCCCTGCAGTATGATTTTAGTGCTTTCCAGTCACTCCCAGTGTGAGTCCAGTATGATCACAACGACTCTCAGTATGATCCCTGTCATACCCCCAACGGACCCAATCAATTCCTGTCACTACTAGAATGATCCCACTATGATCCCAGTCACTCCCAGTATGATACCAGTTGCCCCCAGTGTGGTTCCAGACACTCCCAGTATGAACCCAGAGTGGTTCTGGTTGTCCCCTCCTGTATGATCCTAGTTGCCCCAGTTATGGTCCCAGAACCTCCAACATGGTTCCAGCATCTTCCCTTTGCTCCCAGTGTGTCTTCAGTTGGCTCCCAACATGGTCCCAGTAGCTCCCTGTGCCTCCTAGTACCCAGTGGGGGTCAGTGAAGGATTACAATTGTCCATGAAATCCATTGGGAGAAGCGGTTTGGGGTGTTAGTGAACCAACCCATGGTGGCCCAGGTGGGCTTTGGGGTCTCTTGAGGGCATTGCCTTGCAGACCTCCCAGTTAACCCCCAGTTTTCCCAGTGGGCCACCACACTCCTTATTTGACCCCATCAAGCCTCCCAGTTGCCCCTAGTTGTCCACCCAGGCCAGATGTTGACTAGGACCGGCCCCAGCACTGAGCCCTGGGGAACCCCAGCAGTGCCCAGCCCCAGCTGGCTGTGGCCCCATTCCCACTCCTCCTTTGCCTGGCCACCAATCACGTGTTCTCAGTGAGAGGGACCCGTCCCAGCCGCGAGCTGCAGGTGCTCCAGGAGAGGCAGGGAGATGGAGGCAGTGCCAAAGGCTTTGCTGAGCTGCAGGCAGACATACCCACACATGTCCAACACCCACCGGGGTCACCTGGGCACAGCAGGAGATCAGGTAAGTCAGGCAGTACCTGCCTTTCCCAAGCCCTGGCTGTTCCCAATGCCCTGGTTTTCCTGTCCATGCCATGGGTGCTGAAGTCCCAGGCGGTGCCATGTTGCCAATGGGACACTGTTGTGCTGGCCATCACTACCTGCTGTTGTTCAACTACCTCAGCAGTCCCACAGCAGAAGGGTCCTCTGAAAAAACAAGTAAGGGATTCAGCTGTCTGAATTTCTTCTGTTTCCACAGCAGCTCTCCCAAAGCCCAATGGTGTGCTTTTGGGTCCTTGAAATACCTCTTTTGAGGTGATCTGTGCCAAGGATACACAGAGCCCGTAGGCCAGCGACAATGGCGTTTTTCTACCACTCATGCCCAGTCAGGAGCACTTCAGCTTCCAGTATAGTCCCTGTTGGGATCCCCCCGTCATCTCAGAAACAGAGGTGGATTCTGCCCCTGCATGATGGCATCAGGGAACATTGTGCACCCATGTCAACTGAAGCCTTGTGCTCCTGTGGCTCTGCTATGCCAGGCTATGGATCCACACAGTCCAACTGACCCCACTGTCCTTTTTCCACACCTGGCTGGAGCCAGGGCCCCTCTAGCTCTGATCATGGTACTTGTTGCTTGCTCCTTGTAAATATGATCTGGAGGTCCTTTCCAGAGGGTCAGAAGTAACATCAGCCCTTCAATTCCACCTGAAGACTTGCCCAGTGGAAACTGAGTGGCATTTTTCCTTGAAAAGTTTTCTGTGGTGGTTAATTTTTCCTCTCAACTCACATACCTGTGCTGCCAAGGCAGAGGTGGGTTTTCAATCCCACTTCCATATGTCTTCACCATGGTCAGGCAAGTAAAACCACAGGTTACCTTGTGGTGTGCCCCTCTCTCTTGAGCAGGGAGCACTTGCCCCCTATAGAGTCCAGTCTATGCTAGTGGAGCATAGGGCACTTCTTTCAGTTGCTGGAGGTCTTTTCCACAGACAAGATGCAAACCCATAGGGTGAAAAAGATACTTTCTTCATATTGAGAGAATTTGGTATCCAAATTATGGACTCTTTGTTCTCCTTTCCATGACATCACTGCCAATGAGTTGGTATATGGTGATGGCACCTCAGTAGGAACTTCCATCACATGGTTTGTGTATACTGAACCTCATCTGGATCTACAGGGGACTGCAGGTCTGGACACAATCCTGTGCCATGTGCCCTGGATGATCCTGCCTGAGCAGGAAGGTAGAACCAGATGATCTGCCGGCCCCTTCCAACCAAACTGATTTTGTGATTCTGTGAAAGCAGGAGCAACTTGCAAGTGATTATGGCATACAGACAATTGGGGGAAAGAAAGTTCTGCTAGTTACAGGGAGGAATGATAGCATAGGGAGCAGGATAGAGGGATATGGAGAGTACATATGGCACAGGGATGAATGACAGCACATTGTTACCATATTTTAGCTGGTTTGTGATAGACAAACCAACCAGCCCCTGGTTTGACTGACAGGGGCTCGCCCAGTCACATCTCTCCCAAGGCTGCAGGCGTTTCCTTGGCCAGGACCTGGAGGGAGTAGAGTTCTGACCTGTGAATGTATCCAGATGGGATTTTTCAAATGCCCTATATAAGCAAGGGCTTGGGAAAGAAAAGCTCTCTGTTGCCACATGAACATTAGGGTTGCTGCAGTTTGAATTTATTTTAATGATTCCTTGTTAAGTGGTTTGTTCTGTTGTACCCCCATGTTCTCCCTGAGTTGGTTTACCCTTGGGTTTTATACTCCCTCAAAGCTGCTCCTCATGCCATTCCCCACCCGTTGTTCCAGCTCTTTCCCTGCCAGCCCTTGATTCCTGAACCTCCCCTGCCACTTAAACCTCAGGCCAATCCCTGTCCTGCAACATCCCTTTGGAATTCCCCTACTCCTCGAAGCCCCATTGGCCCATGTGACCCATCCTCTCCACCCTCCTACCCCAGCTGGCCCGGGACACTCCATGTAATCCCCTCACTCATCCTCTGAGGATTCCCTATTGGTTAGCTGTTTGTATCCACCCCCTGACTTGTATCTGTACAAAACCCCTCGCACAATGGAGCTAGGGGCTCTTTGTCCTGCTCCTTTCATCAGGAATAAACTGTTCCTTGTGGACCCTCAAGATGGAGAGCCTCCTCCTTTCTCTTCTGCCTGCTCCCTGTTGTGGCTTGTGTCTGGCACCTTAGAGCAAGTGGTTATAAAGGTTCTGATTCTGGTAAATCCCCATACTGAGGCAGTTCCCCACTCCTGGCGTGGCACCGGAGTTCTAAGAGCTAGCCCGAGTTCTGGCAGCCACTTCAGGGGTGAGTGGTCTTTGTCTCCTGCCAACTTCCCCAGCCCCCTACCTGACACTCACAGCACGGGGATCAGGACAGAGCAACAGAGAATAAAGCAGGAAGAGGCACATGAGATAAACCAGAGGGAAGGCAGGGAGAAGGTTCCCCCACTGGACTCCATAAAATTACATCACAGAACTGATCTAATTGCCTCCCATGACGGAAGAGTTCCTGGATGGATGAGGGGAGTGAAGTGGGTTTCTCCCTTGGCAGCCTTTCAGAAGGACTCAGCAGGTGGGCTGAGGGAGACGTGGGCAGGGAGGAACCTCACCTGTTCTGCCACATCCACAGGGTTGAGAGAACAAAAACCAGCTGAGAGCAGTGCAACACTGTTATAGATACATATTATAATATTAGCTTTTTGCAAATATTAAAGTGGATTTTATATGTGTGATGTTAAAGTAACTTTGTTATGAAGATATCATTTGTATTTCTACTGTCAATTAAGCTTAGAAACAGTAGTGAAATAGCTATGCTTGTGTTAAAATGCCTGCTTGGATGGGATAACATCCAATAAACACAGGATGAGGACACCTGCTACAGATATGCCAAGTATCAGCACTCACCATCTGAAGAAAGCATGAACCAAGGCCCAAACTGGAAGTGATTAGGAGAAGGTGTCAAAACCACAGCCAAGAAATACGCATGCTCTAAAAGGGTGGACCAAAGGAGGGGCCATGTAAAATAGTTCCTGGAAAATGTAAACTAGTTTATGGATATACATAAGAGTCTATGAATATGCAACGGGCTGATGTAAAGGAAAAGGTATTTAGGGGTTTCCCTGAAGGTGACAGTGTGGTCTTGGCTGAGTGCCAAGATGCATCCAGCCGTAATAGCCTTTGCTTTATGGTCCTTGTCTCCTATTGTCCTTTATTAAACTTCTAAAATTTTCACAAGAGAGTGAATGTGTTTTTCAAAAACACTCATAGTTCTGTTTCCTTAAAACTCAAATCTGGAGAAAACTCCATCCATCCCTTCAGGGACACAAATTAGGTTTCACTTCCCAAACCCCAAATATTCTGAGGTGAGGTGATTGTGCCAGACCAGGATATTTTTTTGGCTGATCTCCAGAGGTCCTTCCAACCCCAACTATTCTTTCACTACCCAAAACACAGGCAAGAGCCTCAGCAACCACTATTTGGGTAGTTTTCCTCAGCTTCTACAGTTTCCGGATACTTTGCCATTTCAGAATCTTCACTTAAGGAAAAATGAGGTGTCAGAACCTGCCGGACGTCCCCACATTCCCTCCCCAAACCCTGCAGCAGCAGGGAGAGCCTGTCATGTCTGAGTGAAAATATTTTATTTTTCATTAAAAAACATATGAAAAATGCTGCTTTTATCTCTAAACCCTTTAGGTCTTTCCTGCCACACCTCGTATCACTTCAGAACAGGAGATTTATAAACCTTAAAATCCTTGAGAAAAATAACATTCACGGTTTAATTTTATTTTGGTGCAGTCAGGAATGGTCTTGTGGGATTTGGTGATGTTCACTGGGAGTAGCCCAGCAAAGGAAAATTATGAGCAAGGGAAGGGTAAATTATGCACAAGTTAAAGTCTGGAGAGCGAAGTACCTGCCTTGCAGATGTGCTGCAAGGGAGATTAATAAGTAGCATCATCATAATCTCTGTATTAATAAAAGGTGAAACAATGACCTCTTGTGTAACACAGCCCAGACAACTTGTGGAAAGTAAAACATTTTAAAGCAGCAAATTCGTGGCCAGAGTAACACCCAATGCAGGCAGCCCGTTCTTGGCCAGGCGCAGCTCCTTCAGTCGCGTCAGGTTGCAGAATACCTCAGGGCCAAGGCTGTGCAGCCCTGCACTCTACAGGTTCAAGCTGTGCAGTTGGCTCAGATTCTTGAAGATGCCGGCAGGCAGGTGGCCTATCCCGCCGCTGCTGTCAGCCACTGCAGTGTGGAGACCCTGGGGGGCATCCTGATGGTTGGGGAAACACAAGAAGCTTCCCTCAAAAAGCCGGTAAGACCCCATTGTCTCCTTCCCCCGCGCTCCTGAGCCACTCCCTCCCTATTCCCTAATTGGCCCTTCTCTTTGTACTGCCCCGAGACTAGAGTGACCCGGGCCCCTGGGGAGAGAGAAACGTGGACCCTCCATGTGTGTGTGCCTGGGACCCGAACATGTTACCATGTGGCTGAATTAAACATCTGTGGATACCATGCACAGGCCCTTTTTGCTTCTTTACCCTGGACTTTCCTATTCAGGCTGCAACACTGCAGCTGTGCCAGGTCATCGAAGGCATTGGCGGGATGGCCGACAGTGAGTTCTGTGACAGGCAGAGTGAGCGCAAGGCACTGAGGCCCTGGAAGAAGCGTTGTGGGACCACACACATCCCCTGTGGCTGCTGCACCTGCAGCTTCAGCTCACAGAGGTTGTGCAGGGAGCAGAAAGGCGGCAGCTGCTGCAGGTGTGGGCTTAGGCAGCGCAGCGCATTGGCAGCAGCTCCAGCATGCCCAGAGTCACCTATACTGGCTGGAATGCGGCCACGCTCACCTCCAGCAGCCGACTGCAGGCCAGGGAAAGCCGGCAAAGCTGTGGGAGGCCCTGGAATGCCACAGCTGCCAAGTGCCGCAGGTTGTTCCCGCCCAGGCCAAGGGTCTGCAGGCGGTGATAGAATGACCCACTCAGTAGATGGGGGAAGGGCGGTGGATGTATATTTATAGACATAAGTAAAGCCTTTGACACTGGAGAAGCTGGCTGCTCATGGATTGGACAGGGCAACTGTTTGCTGGGTGAAAAACTGGCTGATGCCCAAGCCCAGAGAGTGGTGGGGAATGGAACTAAATCCAGCTGGGGCCAGTGTAGCAGAACGTGTTCCCTGCCACAAGAGCTTGCTAACTGGTGAAATAAATCACTAAAGACCGCTTGTCTCGTGTTATTTGGGTGCCATGGAAGTGACACTTGTAGCTGACAATAAACATCTTGCTGTGGAAGCAAGATTGTGGAAAGATAAGCTGGAATTTCTGACACTTTGCTTCACAATCTATTAAAGCTACACCAAACTTTCACAAAGTAGAAGTTTCTGCACATTCCCTGGAAATGTGTGGGGCTTTTCCCCCAAAGCTGGGATGCTGGTTTTGTGGTTCCTCTCTTGAAGGTTGAGTGAAAAGACTCAGTGCACACTCTTGCCAGTTTGTTGGTAAGTTACATTGACTCCTAATCTGTACTATTTCTTTCTTACTTTGATATAGGTACCTTAATGTTGTGCACTGTTTTATGTTTTACTGTTTTATGTAATCTACTAGTAGTTCTTCTGTTTTACACCATGTAGTAAGTAACTCTGTTCAAGATCTTTTGTCTATTATCTCCTGTCTATTCAATAAATAACTAATTTCATAATAGACCTGATCTGCCACTCTTAGAACTTGCAAGCCAGAGTGGTTTAGGTGTGGACCACCTAATTCAAGCTGTACCCAAAAAATCTTAGTCTAAGACAGTGCTTGTCTGAAGCTCCCACTCTGTCCATAACACCCACTTGTGGGTGACCCCAGGAGTCAGTGCTGAGTCCAGTCCTGTTCAACATCTTTATTGATGATCTGGATGAGGGGATCAAGTGGAAGTCAAACTAAGTTCACAAATTACACCAACTTGTGTGGGAGTGTGGATCTGCTGGAGGGCAGAAAGGCTCTGCAGAGGGATCAGGACAGGCTAGATCAAGAGGCTGAACCAGTATTCTCCCCCACTGGGATGCCTATTGGGTAGGAATCATGCCCCAAGTACCTCCACCTGAGGGACTAGAAAGGGCTGAAGCAGTTCCTGAGAGACTCGCACCTCCCCCAGGCCATCTCCCCCAGGAGCTTTTTCATCAGGTTTTCTCTTGCTGTTTCTTCCTGAAGCGTGAGTAATGGAGCAGCCTGGGAGGGCACTTGGGGTCAGCCAAGGTCACCTACCCCAAACTTCCCCCACTTTTAGAATCCCAGGCTGGTTTGGGTTGGAAGGGACTTCAAAGGTTATCTCCATCCACCCCCTGCCATGGGCAGGGACATCTTCCACTATCCCAGGTTGCTCCAAGCCCTGTCCAACCTGGCCTTGGACACTTCCAGGGATGGAGCAGCTGCAGCTTCTCTGGACAACCCGTGCAAGGGTCTCACCACCCTCACAAGGAGGAATTTCTTCCCAATATCCCACCTAACCCTGCCCTCTGTCAGGTGAAAACCTTCATCCTCCATCCTGTCGCCTGATAAAGTCCCTCCCCAGCTCTCCTGGAGGCCCCTTTCTATATTACACTTCATCTCTCTATTAGATTTATACCTACATACATATCAGCCCAAAAAGTGGCTCAGGCAGTCCATGACTAGTTGTGGCCACCTGGGGTAGCCCCTTTTGGGGGTGTGGGAGAGCGCTGGGGGTTTGGGCAGATCTATGGGTAATTTTAGAGAGCCTCAGGAGGTTGTAGAGGGAGGTTTGGGAGGGTCCTGAGGGTTTATAGGTTGTTTGGGGGGGAGGGGGAGCATTTTGAGGGGATTCTGAGGGTATTTGACATCTACTGGGGAGTCTGTAGGGGATGGAGGGGGTCTCTGGTGTTTTCGGGGTGCGGGGGGCATACAGGACTGTATATTCCAGGTCCCTAAAGCCCTCTCAACCTGTTCTTCATCTGACAGGATTTATCTCCACCTGTCAGGGAAGTTCACCACACAGACTCGGTTCCTGATTCCCATGAAATTTTGATGTGCACAACACGCAGGAATGTTTTTCCTGCAATTTCCCTGGCTGCAAGTGGGACCACGGGAGTGGCACGAAAAAGTGTGGAGGCCTGTTCATCCTCCACATCGGCAATTGCAGTTTTGATTCAAATTTTAATTAAAAGACTGAAGTGTTGCTGATACTGCGATAGAGTCAGGGTCTTTCTCTACATTGCTGTCATCACGCCAATTCCCAGGAGACACTCGAGGGGCGCTTGGAGGCCAGCTGGGGGGTGCTTGGGGGATCATGAATGGATCTGTAGGGGCGCTTAGGGGTCCGGGAGGAGGTTGGAGAGCATTTGGGAGTCTGAGGGGGCACACAGGGGGCATTTTGGGGGCAAGTAGGGGACGGGGGTCGGTGGGACTTCGGGACCCTGAGGGGCACTTGGGGATCAGGAGAAGGAAACTGGGAGTACTTACGGGGCCCCGGGACGCACTCACGGTTCAGGGAAGCACTTGGGGAGCAGCCGGGACGGTACTTAGGGGACAGTCCCGGCTCTGGTGGGACTCTTCAGAGGTCGCGCAGCATGACGGGAACCGCAGTCACGGCTCTTTCGGCGTCCTACGGGGCCCCGCGGTCTTTCGGGAGTTGTAGTCCAGGAAGTGAGTAAACTGGCGCGAAACCAGCGGCCAATGGGAGGCGGGGGGGGGGGGGGACGAGGGATTTTTGGGGGCTCAGGGGGAGCGTCTGACGCCCCCATGCCCCCCCCCCCCGCCCCCACCCCCCCAACACCCTCAGGGGCGGAGGGACACCAGAATCCCCTGGCGCCCTGTCGGCCGTGTGAAGGTGAAGAAGACAGGTGAGCCGCACTCCCACGGGTTGGGGGTTCCCTGCCCCGAAATGCCCAATAAACCCCCAGGCGCCCCTATAGAATTCCTAGTCCCCAGAGACCTCCCAACGCTGGCCTGGGCCCCCCAAAACATCCCACAGACCCCCGGACCGTTAAAGACCCTCCCCCCCCCCCCCCCAAAGCCCTACCTGGACCCCCAATACCTTTCACAGATTTTCCTCAACACTCCTAGAGTCTCCCCCAAAAATCCCACAGACCTCTTCTAGATGCCCGAGAGACACCCAGTGTGCTTCCAACCACTCCTGATTTCCATCGCTCCCTATAAACCCCCGAAATCCCTTCCTCAGCCTCAGAGCCCCTCCAAACATGCCAAAGACCCTCAGGGACCCCCTAGAGACACCCAGCACCCCACCAACTGCAGCTTTTGAGCCTCTAGAAGCCCCCAAATGCTCTTGGGGACATTTGGAGAGAGAGGGGATTGGGGGCAATCCCAAAAGTGGGGGAGGTAAGGGAGGGAGTTTTGGGGGTCTCCCCACCTCCCGGGTGCAATTTTGGAGTGTCATTGCTTTATTGGCCCCACCATGGGCTGGGGGTGCCCAGGTGGGCATTCCAAGAGGGTCTCGATGGCACTGGGGGGAGGGAAGGGAGAGGAAATTTGGGAGTTAGGGGGACCTGGGGGAGGCGCAGGGGCAGACCCATGAAATTTGGGGGTGGGGATGTCTTACCAAAGGCTTCCCCTTATGGCCCGGTGGTGGCATCACAGCATACAGAGGAGGAGGAGGTCCCCAAGAGGGCCTGGGGGATCTGCATGTCATGGGGGGTGGCAGTCCCACAAGTGTTCTCCCATCCCCACAAGGGACTTCCTGAGCCAGAAGTGTCTCTCCAACCCCCTCAGCCCCTTGAGTGACCACTGACCCACAAACGCCCCCCCCCCCCCCCCAAGTGACCACCCCTGGCCAAAAATGACTGCCTTAGCCCACAGGGGCACCTCTAGGCCCACCACTGACCCCTCTGACCCGCAAATGCCCCCTACCCCACAAAGGTGCCTCATGACCCTCAGTAGCCCCCAGCCTTCGACTGACTCCCTGGCTGACAATTGACCCCCATCACCCTCAGATGACCTGATGACCCACAGGCGACCCCATGGCCCTCAAGCAACCCCCATGACCCTCAAGGACTCCTCTGGTTCCTCACCCAGTGGCTGCTGCAATGGTGCCCCCTGTAGGGCATCACGTGCACGGCTCCTGATTGGCTTTGGGGGGCCTCATGGGGGTCTCATGACCTCAAGCCTGGTGCAGAGGCTCAGGAAGCGCCTCCCTTGCAGGCCGCATGGCATCCTGGGAGCTGTGTGACTTCCAACATGGGGCACACCACAGAGTCCCAAGGCAGTCATGTGACCCCCCAAATGGCTCTTGCCGCAAAGGCTGATGGGAGTTTTGCTTCCCATTGGGTGGCGCCCCCTGGTGCAGAGCTGCACAGCAGCTGCTGCTGATTTGCCGCGGGGCATGGTGGGAGTCACATGAATGTGAGTATAGTGCCCCCTGCGGGGTATCCAGAGGGCTGCTTCTCATTGGCTAGAGGGTCTTGTGGGAGTCATGTGGCCTCCAACATGGATCCTGCCACAAGGGTTCCTGGGAGACGGCCTGGGGTTGAAGATGCCCCCTGGTGCTCAGGTGCGTCATGTGATTGCCAGGGCACTGCCCCCTGCAGGGCCCTGGGGGTATCACCTGGCACTCCCTGCAGGGAACCCCGGGGAGCAGCAGAGCCCAGCAGGGCCGTGCCCACCAAGGGCATGTCTAACCCTGGCTCCTCCCCTCGGCACTGCCTCAAGTGCCATTGGTCGGGGGGCTCATTGAGGGTGGAGCTGTAGGGGGCATGGCCTCCACTTCATTCCGCCCCTTTCCTCCCGAGGGGGTGGAGCCTGAATAGGGCTTGGCTGGGTGGGGGGGAAAGAGAAGGTTGGGGAGGGGCGAGGACCCCCGAAATCCTGAGCCTACACTGACCCCGCAGGGCTGGTGGTCTCGGGAGGAGTTTGAGGGGCTGCAGGATACCCTTATGGGCAGAATGGCGGGTCCGGGGCATCTCCTGGCATTGGGTGTGGTAGTTGAGGGTCCTCGAGGCGCTCTTGGGGAACACTGGCACAAGGGAGGGAATTGGCAGGTACTTAGGGGTCTGGGGTGGCATTTGGGGGTCTGGGGAGCACTTGGAGTCCGGGACAACACTGAGGGAATGGGGGAGCAGACTGGGTCCTCCAGGGGGCACTTGGGGATCCCGAAGGGCACTTGAGGCCAGGCTGCTCTCCCACCTCCTTTGCACCAGATGCTCTGTTTGCTGCTCCAGGCTGAGCCCCTGCGGGAGGTATGCGGGAAGTGATGTGGGACTGTCCCGAGCCCCCAGATTCCTCCCTCGGTCCCCTCTGGAGCCCTCAGGCCTCACCCACTCCATCTCCTGCGCTCTCGTTTGGTTTCACCCCAGCGCTCCGAGCTCAGGCGATGATTGGTTCAGGGTGGAGATGGGCAGACGCTGCAGCCAATAGGAAGTGGGGGAAGGGGAAGGCGGGGGAGGGGAGGGGTCCGTGAGAGGGCTTTGGGGATTCCTGGAGGGGTCTGGGGGCTCTGGAGGCACCGAGGGACACCCTGGAGTATAAATGGGGGTCCCTGGAGGGGTTTGCGGGTCTGGGGGCGCTGAGAGATGCCCAGGGAGTTCTGGGGGTCACTGGGGTGGTTTTGAGTGTCTCAGAGAGGTTGTATGGGATTCTCAGGGAAAGGTTTGGGGTGGAGGGAGGTTGGTGTGGTTCTGGGCGTCCTGGAAGGAAGTTGGCAGTGCAGGAGAGTCGAGGGGATCCCTGTATGGTTTGGGAGGCCCTCGAGAGGGTTAAAGTGGCAGAGAGCTGGGATCCCACTGACAGAGAACCCCAATATCCCCCATGGACCCCCCCAAATCTTCCCTAGAAGCTAAAAACCCTCCCAGGGACCCCCAGATCCTGGCAGGACTCTCTCAGCGCCCCTTAGATCTGTTAGCCCATCCAAGGGAATGATAGCTAAATTGGCTGGCAAATAAACTTTCTAACAGAATTTGAAGCATTAGAAAGCAGGCGTTCTTTATCTGCGCAGGACACACTGAAGGATTTCTCCTTTAATCTGATGTGTGCGGTGAAACTTTGCCACGGGGTATGGTCCTGGAGGGACCACGAATGGGTCTCTGGTGGTCATATTCACGGAATGCTTCCATATTACACGTGACCTTTCTTTGAACGTTTTCGTTGAGCGTGCACTGTTACTTATTACGTAACTTGACAAAAACACCACTACATTCCTCATTACCTATTTTCCACTGGCTACAACTGTGCTTGTGATCCTCTCGGCATACCTTTACATCTTTTCAGCTATTTTGCCAGTTGTCTTTGAGCTCCATCCAGCACCTTCAGGGCAGCTAAAAATTTCTCTTCTCTGTGTCATTTATCAGGAGCCCAAAAACCCTTCCAGGGACCTCCATCTCCCCAGAGAGACCTTGTGGTTTGGGAGGTTCAGAGGGCTGAGGGGATCACCGGGTAGTTTTGGGGGATCTCCATGTGGTTTGAGGGTCCCTGGATGGCTTTGGGGGTGGGGTCTTGTGGAGAGCTTAGTGGACAGTTGGCTAGCTGAGAAAGGTCACGTAGACGTGATACCATTGGTTAAGCTAGAAGGAGACAGGTCTAGGAGTCAGCAGACAGTGTCCAATGATGGGCAAGGACATTGTGCCCTTGGTGCAACAACAGGATAGAGGAGAGGATCTTTTGCCAAAAATATGAGGATAGTTTCAGCAGAATAATCACAAGAATGTAGAAGTAGCAACAGAATAATCCTAAGAATACAGAAGTAGGCGTAGTTGTCCAATAAGTAACCAACCAATAATGAGCTCTTCTTTGCAATATGTATGAACTTCACTAACACCAATATAAATATGTGTGACTACCAATAAAGTTGGAGACTTGCCGATCACTCATATTGTGTGCCGCATTTCTCCCGCCGATCCAACAAAATGGTGACCCTGGTGACGTGATTCCTGTAACGGCAACCACGGTGGATCGGTGAAGGAGTTCGGGTCCTGTTGCAGCAAGGACACCAAAAAAGCACCGCTGAAAAAGGGAAGGTGCCGCGCCCCGGGTGACCTCAACGGAGAGCCTGGCCAATACGTGCTGCCAAGAACTTGTGGGGCTGCAACAGTGCTGACATTCTTAAAATGGAAAGAGAAAGGCAAGCAGCATATGATTTATTTACTTGCTTTTTAGAAAAGCTTCAGGATAACGGCATAGATTTGCAAAAAGAGCTTCACGGGTTGTTAGCTTACGGGTATGCACAGGGAGTTTTTCAAAATCCTCATACAGTACATGAATTAACAGAGTGGTGTAAATTTGGAGACAAGCTGTGGGAGGCAGCTATAGATGAAGATAAAACTGCAAAAAAGTTGGGAAAGGTATGGTGAGTTTTGCATGATGAGTTACTACAATATCAGGCAGAAAAGAAGGCTGTGCAGCAAGCTATTGTAGCGCGTGAGAAGAATAAGGGTTATGGGGACTGGTTTAATTGTCCATTACCCCCTGCCACATCTACAGTTATCTTGCCACTAACATCAGCTCCTGCTTCAAGCAGCAACTCACCCCCGGCGTGTGCTACAACAGCACCATCCGCACTGCCTGTGTCAAACCCTCCATCTCCTCCTCCTAG